AATTAAATGAAGAAAAGAAATCCTACGCGGAAACACTAAGGTTAGATCTGCAGAAACAGTTCGAACAAAAAATGAAGGAGATGGAAAATAAGCTCGTGGAAATGCAAAACCAGTTTTAACAGGCTGTTAATGCCTACAGAGAAGAAAAATAAAAAAGAAAAACGGCAGAAAAGGAGCTCGAAATTCTCAAAGAGAATTATTCCAAACTGGAGAACACACTGAAACTCTACGGATACAAACCATCAGGAAAACACACCAGGAGCCAAGGCAATCCCATCAAATCTCCCCCAAGGAAAAAGAAAGGTAACGATAAGATGAAAAAATGTGAAACGGTTGAGTACGTTAACTCAGAATCGGATGTCAGCTCTCAAGAGGGTGGCGATGATGAGATGCAACCCTAAACCCAATAATCGTCGTCAAAACAACTAGAATGGATCCAACAGCAAACCGAAAATCAACCGATATTATTCAATGGAATTGTAATGGCGTCAGAAAACAAGACGCAGAATTACGGATATTGATTAATGAGTACAAGCCATCTCTAATCAGTCTACAAGAAACAAGAACAAACAGGTCAAACGAACACTCAATTCCTGGTTACGATACCTTATTCTGCCACCGTCCTTCAGGACAAGGTGGAGTTGCTATTGCAATCAAACATGGAATAAAATACTCAAGAATTCAACTTAACACAAGTCTTGAAGCAATAGCTATAAAAATCAACCTACCTCGAAAAATGACTCTCTGCAGCATATATGTGTCACCAAATCAGATAGTTAACAAAAAAGAACTTGACAACATAATTAACCTTATCCCCAAGCCATCAATTATATCGGGAGACTTCAACGCTCACCATAGTCTATGGGGATCAAATAGAGATGATTGCAGAGGAAAAATGATCGCCAAAATAATACAGGAACAAGAGCTTATGCTACTGAATGACGGCAGCTCAACTTTCATACAGCTTGAGCTTGATTGACCACCCACGGTTGCTACTCTGTTACTGCCAGATCAGCTGTAATTACACAGAGAACCAATAGACGATGCTTGGGACTAGCAATCATCCTCAATGTGTAAAAACTGGTGATCTTAAATTAGGCAATACCAGCGCCAGCCGCGCCCGAACACAGGTCAAGAAAGGAGTGGGAAGGATTGTGTTGACATGAAACTCGCTTTGATGGAAGCCAAGAACACCTCTGCACTTCCACGAGGAATCACTGGGATGTTGGATAAGAGGGTTGGGTTTGCAGCAGGGTTCGTTTTGGTAAACGATAAGCTGAATTGATGTCCTAACGATCATATAACGCGAAGGAGCTTGGGACTAAACCCACGGTCTTCTGCTCAGTAAGCAAAAACGTTTGCCACTAGGCAGACGAGCACCTTTTTAATCACCGAGTTGCTATTATTACCATGTAGTCATATTAACAAATAAAACGATTGACGAATCTTGAATGTGGATGGGCCTGAGATTAGACTCATGATGTTCTGTTCAGTAAGCAAAAACGGTTGCTCTAAGGCCACTGAGCCCCTCATATCACATAATACCGTTGCTCAAATTTGTGTATCCATTCAAACCCGGAACCAACGACAACAACGAGTTTCGCAAAATACACGATACACAAGCGATTTTACCATAAATCTCTTTGATATGTAAGGACCTGGGACCGCGTTTTTCTGCTCAGTAAGCAGGCCACTGTAACCGACGATCTTTCAAATCCGAAAACTAAAAACTACGAAAAAGTACTTAGGCCATCATTAAGTTCCACTTTCACGCGACGTTCAATGACATTTCTCCAGGATTACATCTAATCCACCTGAAATGACTAACGGATGGAAGACTTTGACTACCCAGCCATGCAATAGTCTCATTCTGTGCCTTATGGCAACTTGATGATTCTATTGCGCTCATCTTTTGGCACCACCCAGGGGAGACTTAGTCCTGTACCCAATGCTTAACTTATCTCCATTCCACTCAGCTACTCGCAATTTCTTGTGATATAGTGGGCGGAATATTATTATATGAGACAATTCAATGCAGACGTCTTTCCAAATTTGGCAGATAGACAGATAATCGATGAGTTACCACGATAGTTGCCATTCAACAACTCGACAACGTCCCATCGTCAACGCCTGCTATGAGAATTTCCCATTGCAGACACCAACGAAATGACGTCATCGAGCTATCGATCAACTACCCTGGTTATCGCCTGGTACCTTATAGCACGATGCTAGGAGGCGAACCGGAAGAATCGATGAGCTACCTCTCCCCCGACGGCAGCCCAACTTTCATACATTCGACAAACGCATCGACATGTATTGACCTTACTCTATGCTCAGCTGAAATTTCTAACATAATTAACTGGTCAATCCACGAGGACCAACACGGTAGTGACCACTTTCCAATTCTAATTGGTACCACCATATCTTCCAAAAGATCAAGACCAGCCAGGTGGAAAATGCACGAAGCAAACTGGAACATATTTGAAGCTAAGCTTGAAGAATCAATCAAATCACATCAATCATACACAATAGAAGAACGAACAGACGCAATTAAATCTGCAGCTTCATCAGCAATACCAAAAACATCTACTGAAGTCCGCCAAAAAACCGTTCCATGGTGGAACCAAAACATAGCAGAAACAATCAAACTTAGACGAAAAACACTTAGGTAAAAACAAAAATGTCACCCCGACGATCCTTCTTACCCAGATATACTAAACGAATTTCAAAAGGCCAGAAACAATGCAAGGAAAATCATTGAAGAAGAAAAACGGAAATCATGGGAACAATGTGCATCCTCAATAAATAAAGACACACCAATAAAAGACATCTGGAATAAAATTCGCGCCATATCAAAAAAAAAAAAAGTTCATCATTGGCCAGGACCTGGGCGATCGAAACAGATAAAGGCCCAAACGCAATGTGGACGGAAGCGGAACGGAAACGGAAAGTTTGACAGTTGTCACAAATGACATCAAGATGCCTAACCGAAGTCGATTTGGTTCCAACAAGTTTTCAATCCGACAACTTGGCTCACTCAGATCGGGCTTTTCCGCTGCCGTTGCCGTTCCGCTTCCGCTGTCATTGTAATTGGGCCTTAACGGTCCCATCACCAACCCCACCGACATTGCAAATCATCTAGCAATTCAACTACAGTACAACCATACATTCAGCACTCATACAATGGGAAACGCAGACAGCAAAGATACCACCCAAAACGGTGACCAGGACGTCACCATAATCGAGAATCAAGAAGTCCACACGGGATACCTAGAAGACCACAACTGGAAGCTCTTGCTTTTCCTCGTCATAGTGTCAATCCAGCTAATCATCGGTATCATCAACATACTAAGGAAACAATGGAAGCACTGCAAAGCAAAGCTGCCAAATCTGTAGCAGTCCTCAACGTTTAATTAAGGAAGACCCGACCATGACCAGATCCAAGAAGGCAACCGGAAATAGGTTAAGAAGTGATAAAGTCAAATACTAAATTTTAAGCTTTAAACTGTAATTTATCAAAAACGACCCGAATGACCAAATGGATAAAAGGTCGCTAATAAAGAACAACAACAACAACAACAACAACCTGTGTGTTGTTATTTTTTTAGATTGAGCTTTGATTCACGAGAAATCGTCAAATGAAGTGTTTGTTTACAAAAGCAATTACGCCCTAATCTCGAAGCTCTCCGGAAATGTTGTAAATGTTTGACATTATATGATCCAACTCTGAGATCAGAGTTGGCGATGGTGGACAGAACTTATTCGATGATAACGAGATTATCTTACGAGCATTGAATTAGGTTGACGAGTATTGATATGTTCACAAAATTTACTTGGAGAAGGTATAAAAATAATGATTCACAGGTTTAACCTTTGTCCAATCTCAAAATTAGAACAACACATCAGTTATTGATCCCAAAGTTGATTTATATGCCAAATATTAGACTGATAAACTGAGATTAGACATAGCCTAATTGCTTCAATTATAAAACGTAGAGGCTCCACAATTTATCTCAGGCTACTACTGCTGCCAGGAATCCCGTTGTGCAAGTTTATTATTGATATTTCTGTTGATAAACAAAAAGTGATAAACTGACACGAGTGGGTTGTAAAGATTATTCAGCTGTAACCTTTTACATACCACACTAGGACAACAACCGACGAATGCATATTAGCAACGCTCAGCTAGGGTTTTATCACCGTTGCACGTAGCACGTGTTCAACGGATAATTAATTGCCTCGGACATCAGCTGGTGGTCGGCACGGATGTTTTGTTTTCTATCTCGAAATGCACCTTCAGTGCATTCTGATTGTACTTCATAGACACAATTCCCCATATAGTGGACTGTCGAATTTACTGCTTCACAACATCCCATGTCGTCATTTAACAACATTATTTTTAGTCCGGTATCACCGGTGACGACAATCGACCGTCATTAACCGTTAACCCAGAACGCATTACCATTATCACGGTTGCGCGATGGTAGAGTTCGCGGATTGGCCAAACGAGCATTATTAATTCCTCTCATGCGCCGTGAATGATAGATTCAAGGTTGGCATTATTTTAATTCAGCATTTAATTGGTACAATGCCCGGACGCCGGAAGTGAATATGTAATCCCGGTAGGGCGTGATGTCCTTGGATGTATGGGAAAATAAACCTGATGAGTTGCGTTGTAGATTGTAGTTTCGTGTCAGACGTTGTTTTGACACGGTGGAAGCAACAACTCCATTACGTCACAGAAATGGGTAATTGAGGTAATATAACAGATTACTAACCGTTACGTAGAGCAAATATGTGAACTAGAAGGTGCAATGTTTTCGACCGTTAAAAGTCGAAAACATGCTTGTTTGCATGGGATGTTTTCAGTTGTCCAACTGTCTGTCGAACAAATCAAAATAAGAATACCTCAATGTGAAATCCCCACAATCACGTTTGGTTCAGTGGTCGAGAATTGCCCACTCAACTTATCTGCGTTATTCCGTTCATTGTGATTTCAGCGCGTCCCGACGATTAACGATTCTAAACAACGCGCAATCTGATCAAGGATAACTCTATAGTTGAAGCACAACAACCTTCCGAGGTGGAAGACCTGCACCGTCCAGCTTGTCGGGAACTGTACATTGCGTAAAACCGGCAACAAACGACACAATACACTGACAAGTTTGATGGCTTTTGTGGAAGAAGGAGAACATAGTCAATCCTAGCTCGCAACATTCTAGCTTAAGACGTTGATCGAAGCGGATTTCATTTGATACAGTCAATATGACTGCGGAAATCATGCACGGAGTGAAGAAGGATGACGACATGTGAGTGATTTATAATTAAATGGTCCTATCATTGAGCGTAACAGTTTCAAATTTCCTTCAGAAAACCGGAAGATGACTCCCATATGCAATGCGGTTCCCGAATGTCGCGGTTTGTCCAAGTGTACTGGAAAACATTGTTTGTACTGTTTGTTCCAACGATAGCTGCTTTGTTGTTTCTTGTTGAGAACACACCAGCCTACCGATGTCTCTACGTGGTGATAGTGATGGCCTTGCTTTGGGTAACGGAAGCTCTCCCTCTGCCCATCACTTCCATGATTCCTATTGTAGTGTTTCCTTTGATGGGAATTCTCAGCACCTCCGAGACCTGTATGGTTTATATGATGGAACCTGTTATAATGTTCATTGGTGGAATTTCTCTCGCTCTGGCAATTGAGTACTGCAATCTACATAAAAGATTAGCGCTTACAGTGATTGCCGTGATTGGATGCAGCCAGCGGAGGTTACATTTAGGATTGACTATTGTTACCATGTTCCTGTCGATGTGGATTTCCAACACGGCTGCCGTGGCCATGATGTGTCCGATCGTACTGGCCGTACTGCAAGAGCTAGAATCTGTGAGTGTAGCTCTATATTTTATTCTGTGTTTGTCTAATCTGAAATTTAACGTTACTCGTGCAGCAAGGACTCTGTAAAATGTATGAAGCTTCTGATAGTATCGAAGATGCTGATGGTGCTGCACTGAATGACACATCCAAAGAAGAGTATGATCAGCAATCATTTAGGTTTGTTAAAGTTGAATAATATAATGTTTTCTTTCAGACGGAAAAAGCCATCAAACATTACATTGTGCTATTTCTTAGGGACGGCCTACGCTTCCAACATTGGAGGTAATTTGAATGAAAAGCTTAGCATCTTCAACCACTAAACTTAATCTCTATTCTAATTATGCGTACAGGATGTGGCACCATCGTTGGATCCGGAACGAATCTAACCTTCAAGGGTCTGTATGAAGGTCGGTTTCCCAATGCACCGGGAATCGATTTTCCCACCTTCATGTTCTTCAACGTGCCGCTTATGTTGATAAATGTGGCCCTCGTGTGGATCTATCAGCAGTGGTACTTTATGGGAATGTTCAGACCGAACAGCCAACAAGCGAAGCAGTCCGAAATTGGCAATGAAGGAGCAGTCGTGGCCAAGCGAGTGATAGAAAGTCGCCTCAAGGAGATGGGACCAATGACGTCGCATGAGAAAAGTGTCGCTGCCTTGTTTGTACTGTCGATCGTGCTATTCTTCACCCGCAAACCAGGATTCGTAAGCGGATGGTCAGATCTCTTCCCGGGAGTGTGAGTAGCTCTGCTGACTAACGTAAAGTTTTTGAGTTTTTGATTGAATATGATTTGTCATGCAGGGCAATTAAGGATGGAACGCCGGCAATACTGATTGTCATATTGCTATTTATAGTGCCGGCTGATTGGCGGTGGTTGAATTTCTTCAAGAAGAACCCAGGTTAGTAAATCAAGAAAGACGATGCGACTAGAAACAGAGATTACACCTACATGACGGAGCGTAAACAGACTGTCTGATAAGTGTTATATTAAAAAATGAGCGGTTCCACGCCAAATGACGAATCGATCAGACTCGACCTTCTCCGATTTGCATGAATTTGTGCAAATTTTGATTTGCACAATTTTTTTTTAAAGTTTGACAGATTTTAATAAAAAATCTTAGCACGAAAACGTCACTTCTAATTGAAATTACTACCTATAATCGCAAATCAGTCACCTATGAAATTTCGCCAATTTTGAGATAACAACGCTATCCACTATCAATTGGCATCTATTATCATATTAAACGATAAAAGTACGGTTTTTGATGATGAATAATGTGAAAATATCATCAAGTTGATTTGTTTCATCGAGCAAAATAATCCCATATCAGTCCCATGTTGAAATTCAATCTTCCATAACTCAAGTTAAAGTCATGCTTTTCGAATTACCATATTTTTTTGCTGATATAACAAAATATGCCAGCTTCATTTCAACTGTTTATAACTTGAAAAAAAATAAGAATAAATTCACAATGATTTTTCATATTTTTACATGGGAATTGCACTTCGTAACTTTGACGGCCATTTTTTCAATGCCTACTTTTTTCCATATGGGACTGCTATGTGATTATCGGCTGATTACGTCTGAAGCAAAGTTGTTGGAAAAACTTACGTTGGTCTAGGAAAAATATACACTTCTAAATTTTTATTTAGTTATTTCGACTATACAATTTTAAATAAGTGAACAATAATGTTTAATATTTTCGATTTTATGCAAAGGAAAAGCTTTTTAAAAGTTTTTGTTAGTGAACTTTTGATTGTATTTACGTGTAGTAAGCAATATTTGATTACTTTGACTATATGTTTTTAGTATTACTTCTACGTGAAGTCAACGATTTACATAGTTGAAGATGCTAATTTCAAATAACAGACTGTAGTGGTAATTTTTATACGATAGATGGAGTTAGCATAGAGTTGATAGTTCCGTTAGAGTACGGCAGTGTGAAGATTGTATACATATAGATATTAGACAAGCGAGCTAGGACAACTTTTAAGGAAGGTACAAATCGGTTTTTTCATCTCTCTTTACCAAACTCCTCCTTTGGAGAGGGATGGTGAGGGGTGTCCCCCCCCCGCCACCACTGGCAAAAAGAGATGAAAACCGACCCGATCATGTACCAACTGTGTGTTTGAAACAGTTCTACCGATTTTTTACCGCACTTCAGTTGTTATTTGAAGGAAGGCATCCAGTCGTAGGTTTAGAAATTGCAACTATTGTTTACCCCTACCACGATATGTGCTCCTGTCATCGTCAAACAAATCATCGTCAATCCCCTTATTACAGGGCAGGGCCTGACGATTTAAATCTAATTTAATTTTGATCAGTGAACGGGCACCCTATGGTACATTTTCTCACCATGAACCTATCATTTCCAGCCTATCTGAACTATTTAATAAATGGAAGCCATAACATGGGTTACGCTCCCCCTAAGCGGGCCCTCCGCATCCTGTCTCTGTCTTATCTCAAATACAAAATGCCAATGGTATGAATGTATCTATATATATTAGTCAGGCTTCAGAATCGTCGTATTTTACCCATTGAGTGTTGATTAGTCACAATGAAACATTGTGACAGAAGTTGAGGTTACTAGTGTATTAAATAATCTAGGTCCTATTTAGGATTATATCTGAAAAATCCAAATCTGGCCAACGCCCACCCTAAACCTAAACCTGTTCTAATCCACCTGAAATGACTAACGAATGGAAGACTTTGACTACCCAATCATGCAATAGTCTCATTCCGTGCCTTATGGCAACTTGATGATTATATTGCGCTCATCTTCTTGCACCACCCAGGGGAGACTTGGTCCTGTACCCAATGCTTAACTTATCTCCTTTCCACTCAGCTACTCGCAATTTCTTGTGAAATAGTGGGCGGAATATTATTATATGAGACAATTCAATGCAGACGTCTTTCCAAATTTGGCAGATCGACAGAACTCACCGATTACCACGATAGTTGCTATTCAACAACTCGACAACGTCCCATCGTCAACGTCTTCTATGAGAATTTCCCATTACAGACGCCAACGAAATGACGTCAGCGAGCTATCGATTAACTACCCTGGTTATCACCTGGTACCTTATAGCACGATTCTAGGAGGCGAACCGGAAGAATCGATGAGCTACCTCTCCCTACCTCTCCCCCTATTAGGGGCACATTAACTCTATATTGATATGCTGAGTACGTTCAAGTTGAAATTTGTATTCACCATGATTTTCGTTTGATTCCCGACGCGTTGGCCGATCACTTGTGGTTGCACGGTTTGTAAGGTTGCAAATGTGTGACATCGCGATCGCCATCGAGCATGCAGGTTTGGCACTCGATCGTGTGCGTGCTAAATTTATGTTTTGTACTTTTTCAGTCACGTGTGATCCGTGGCCTCCCTTAGCTCAGTCGGTAAAGGCGCAGCTACAATGCTGCAGATGGTTGGGTTGATTCCTGGTCCGGTCTAGGATTTTTTTTGGATTGGAAATTTTCTCGACTTCCCTGGACATAGAGTATGATTGTACTTGCAACACAATTATACGATTGTAAAAGGCATCGAAAGCTTTCAATTAATAACTGTGGAAGTGCATTTAGCGACTAAGTTTGAGAGTACACAATAAGCTAATATGCGATAAGCAACAAGCTTGAAATGCAAAGAAGAAGATGAATTGTGATCTATGTGCTTTACTTCAATTGCATTAAGGTTTATTTTGAAGTTTAATAATAATGTTTTATTGTATACGTGCGTGCAATCTGTCAGACAGATGTGGAATACAAGAACGTTATTTTCGCTACTATATGACTTTTGGTCGACCCAGCTTCAAACACATGTTTTAGTCTTGCTGGGAAAAAATATTACGATCTATCCAGGCCCTTATTGTAGAAAATCGTAACAGTTTGAATTCGCACGTTACGGTACGGGAAAAGTAATAATTGTATTTAATTTTGACGTATGTTTGATCTGGTTTGAAAAGCATTTCGGGGACGTCATTTTATTTGAATACCTTTTTACTCGGGATTGATATATCATTGGTCGTAGCTTGTCGTGATGATGCATGATGATGATGATGATGATCCCACCGCTTAACCCTACAAATGTTTAAGCTAAACCATTTATCTTTAAGATAATTAAGTTAAGTATAACATCTTAACCAGAACAGCAAACAAAAACAAATTCTCTCACAACGATATAAATGTGAAAAAGCTTAGGCGTTCACTTCTTTGTTCAACCTTTTGTCCACCTCAAGTATTCACAAGTATTCCCGGCGATCACCAGTTCATGATTAATCAACAAAGCATTCTAATGCACTAGCAAACCCCGCAATCTGATGCTATCGTAATTTTCAACAATGTCAGGAATGCTCACGAACCCCCGACATTCAGCCAGAAAACTTACTACTAAGTCAAGGCATCTTCCAAGAACCATGAAATCGTTTTTGTTTACTGAGCAGGAGATCGTGCCTCTTTGCCTCTTTGTTGATCTATTGACGAAAACGATTACTGATATAATTCGGGTGGAACGGTACGGAAAAACATTTGTTTTGCAAGTATAGTGTTAGTTTCCCTAATGTTGGCTCAAATGTTCTTTTTTTTTTCTTTATTTAAGAGGTTTTTAGTCTAAAGACTGGTTCGCCTCTGACCGACTCTCAAATTTTCTTAATATTGGGCCCATACATAAATTTCGCAGGAAAGTTTTTGTTTTCCCCATTTTTCAACAGCAATCACAAATATCCATTTGTATTGTTCAGAATCTAATGTCAGATGATTCAATGTTTTAAGAAAAATGAAGACCATGAGATTTTTACCGATGGGTTAAATATTTAGATCCATAGGCCAACATTAGATCCATTTCCTCTATGACGTACGCTAGATGTGGTATGGGAAACATTGTAAACGGTTTTCAGAGACATAATTTCATCCAGGCTTGAAAAATCGTCGTTTATTACGACAGCTTATTATGATGTCAGGGGCACGGTAGCCTTAGAGCGGCCGTTGCTGCTTACAGAACAGAAGACCGTGGGTTAGATCCCAAGCCCTTTACATCACTAAGTTGATAGACTTTGTTTGCTTAAGCCATGCTTTAAAAGATCGCGTCACTTTCCATTTGAAATGTGTTGAATCGATTCAACAAAGTTTAGAATCACTTCGGACAGTACTTAATCTCTTTAGAAATGTTCGGAGTCACTTCGGAAAGTATTGAAAAACTTCGGAAATGATTGGAATTATCACAGAATTTTCTGAAGAACTTGAAATTACTTCCGTAAGTACTGATTAACTTTGCATTGAAATGAATCACTTAAGAAAGGTTTGGAATCACTTCAGAAAGTTCTTAATCACTTCAGAAAAGTAGGGAATCACTTCGGAAAGCCCTAAATTACTTAAGAAATTTTACAGTCCGCATCGTGATCTCTTGGCGTGCGGATCTATTTTATTTTTGCTGAAGGAAGTGTTACTACTACTTTAAAAGATCGCGTCACTTTCCATATCTATTCGGTCTCTAGTAGCAACGGGTGTCGAAATAACAATCCTTCAAAAGTAACAATTTTGGTTTTATGAAGGTTTTGTAGACCATGATTTAGACTTATAGAATGCTATAAAATCTATATAAAACTGAAAATGTTACTACCGTAAGGACGTTGTCGGCGCGGTCATTGACATTAAAAGTAATGATTTACCGGATTTTTCACACTAAGAATGGGTTGCTAATCCCATGCCCCATCTACATTGGTTCATCGTGTGAATTCTGCTAGATCCGCTTTGCTAGATTTTCGGTTGTTTGTGGAAATTTCTGAAATCTTGCACCAATGCTACCGACGCCAGGGAGGCACTCCCACACCTTGACCCTACCTATCGACCCATCAACTCATGAACTGGGGACCAACGGCTTTACTTGCCTTCCGAAGGAAGACG